AATATGATAGGACAAGGAGAAGAGAATGACTAAAGAATGGAATAATAATAATTAAAATGACAACTAAATAAGAATTAAACGAGAAATGATAATTTTATAATAATGTAATACAGAGTTACAACAAACACTGTGAGATAGAAAAAGAGAAAGAGAGAGACAGAGTTTAGTCAATATGATGGACAATTAAATATACATTTATAACTAAATACCTGAAAAATGGTTCCAATCAATATTTAGTCCAAAGGAAAAAAATGTCTCACATTTTTCAAAATATATCTTGATTTAAATTAAGATGTCAATAGTTAATTATTTTAACAGTTTGAGACGACCAAAAATACAAGAAACAAAAAATAAACAACAATCATCAAGAAAACTGCATCTCGTGAAGCAAACTACATTTAACCATAACCAAGAATAAGTAAGTACAGTTGTTGCTATAGTAACAACACATTAAATTGCGAAAGTAAAAAGCAGACAGGGAATAAGGAAAAAAGCCAAGGAGAAAGAAAAAGCAATATCCATCTTCAAAATTGTTATTACTTTTCATCATCATTTGTTTTAACTAATATCAGTTGAAGATGATATTGAGAAGATATAAATTGATGAGAGTTAAACTAATTAGTGATCAACAAAAATTTCAAAACTGGAAGACAATTAAACCCAAATAATTATGAAAATTTGACTGACAAACTCTGAAACTCTTTAACTGTTTACTTTACCAAATTTTTTCTTGCATGTACTCCGTATGTAATTGTATCACCGCCATTATCATTGACATCAACCTGAAAATTAATCTCATCATAGCCATCATCTTATGCTAATCAAGGCAAAAAATGGATTTTTCCAAAATTTGGAATCTTCATCGAAAAGTTTTCTCCGTTTCTCGTGTGATTTGCTTTCAACTATTCAATGGATCAACTCAGCATTTCTAGTCTTCTAATGTTGCTCTACTGCTTAATAATAATATTATTATTTTTGTTATTATTATAGTTATTGTTATTATTATTACAATATTCCTGGCATACAGTGTGTTATTATGCTTCCAAGGTGAAACTTGGTGATTATTTTTTGCCCTACCATTATTATTATTCACATTAATAATATTTTCTCTTTATTATTATTATATCTTTTATTATTGTTATTACTTTTTTCTTTATTGTTATTAGTTTTTCTTTATTATTATTGTTATTAGTTTTTGTTCTTGGCTCTAAAGAAGGCCTGGTTCAAATTGTATGACCCTAACAAAACTATTTTCATCCATTTTCTGCTTCTTCGTATAATTTGTTACTTATTTATAAATATATGAATTTAATTATGTTAACTTTTGCGTTTCATTATTCAAGCGACTTTAAATTGATATTCAATAAGTTTGTTACATCAGAACGTTGTATTTATGAATTTGGTTGATTTGTATTTCGATATTCATTAATGATGTTAATTCGTCTGTTTTCGATAATTTATGGTCATTGGTTGCGATCAATCAATTCATGGTTTATTCATTGCAAATTAATGTCTGAATAACTTGCATTGTACTGTCAAAATTACTGTTAGCAATCTTTTTGCTATGCAGATGAAATTATTGCTTGTAAAGATTTGAATTTCTCATTAAATAATATGCGATACAGTCTAATTTTTGCTAATCTATTCATCAATTTTTGCTAATTGATCAAAATATAATTTTGATTTGATTAAGCTTCGTACTTTAAAGTACGAAGTTAATTTGAAAAAAAAGTTCCCTCATTTACTTAGCAAAAATTCTAAAGGATGGCGACACTTTGTTAAGGATCACATTGTTAAGCATTAGTCTTTGGTTTGATTATATAACTGCACATTTTGTTTTTCTGGATTTTTGTGATTTTTTACTAATTAAAACGAATATGTCTCAACAATTTAAAGATATGGCCAGTAAATTTGGCAAAGGTGGTCCAAAAGGACTTGGCTTGGGTATGAAACTTCTTGCTGCAACTGGTGCTTTAGGTTATGGTTTGACCCAGTCTGTCTTTACCGGTTAGTATTAACTTTTCCTAAACCATGTGCTTTCCTTTAAGAAATTATAAAAAATCAAATTTATTCCTAAAATTCAGTTGATGGAGGTCACCGAGCCATTATTTTTAGTCGACTTGGCGGTATTAAAAATGAGATTTACCCAGAAGGTCTTCATTTTAGGTGTGTATTTAAAACGCATTGTCATTACTGTTGTGTTATTGTCTAGTCAATAACATGTTCTTCTTGAATAAATTGTCATTCTTTTTTCTATATTTTTCAGAATACCCTGGTTCCAATATCCCATTATTTATGATATTCGTTCGCGGCCAAGAAAAATTTCATCTCCTACTGGTAGCAAAGATTTACAAATGGTAAACATTTCTTTGAGAGTCTTGGCTCGTCCTGATGCCCTTAAGTTGCCAGAAATGTATAGAATGCTAGGAACAGACTATGA